TAGGCAGCAGCTGAGCAGGGAGTTGAAGTGAGGTACCTGCAAAAACAGGTAGGCAGCACATAAGAGAGGTGTTGTGAGGTGGCTTTAATGTGAGTACATGGTTTTCCTGCTGAAGAAAAGCTGGAAGGATTGCAGGGGACATGTGATCTGGTAGCTCTCCTCAAGCTGTCAGGTATGTCCCAGGCAAGCCCCAGCTCAGTCCCTGGTGTTTTACAGCCAGAACTTCTTCCTCCAGGCAGGAATTTCAGGCCCAGAGCCCTGGATGTGAGCCCAGCATGCCACCACCTGACCTGGATTCAGGTATGAGAAGATCCTGCACCACATCCCCTACCAGCTCCCTGTGAAGGGAGGCACATTCAGTTGCTGACTGTTCCTTATTCAGAGATCCTTCCTGGCCTCAGTGCTGGTAGCCCAGCTGAGACACTGGGATTGTTGTTTGTTTTCATTTTCTCCTGGGAGAAGAAGAAGTTTTAGAAGAGCACTTCTGTTCTGTTCACTAGGTAGAAGAGAGAGATAACATTTCATATCTGGTAAAGATCTAACCAACATTTAATATGTGCCTCAGCAGGTCAGGATTGCTCCCTGTTTAATACTACTCGGCATTTGCATTTCTCTAGTTCAGGACAAAGCACTGTACAAACATTAATTAACCTTCACAAGAGTATAAGAAGCTCAGTTTTCAGAGGGGAACACCTGGAGGGCAGTGATCTTAAACAAGGTCACACACACAGTGGTGGTGTTTCATCTTCATCTGCTCCGTGAGAAGATTTTCAGGAGGCGGGGAACAACTTGAACAGGGACATAGTGGGGACTGCTAAAACGGCTGGTGGGTGAAGAAGGGGAGAAGCATTTTGCTGGGCCAAGCAAAGGAGAAATGCCTCAGTGACAGCAAGGGATGTGCTGCAGGATACACTCAGAGATGGTTATAGCAGGTGTGCTGGTGAGATCCAGACAGAACAAATTGCTGCCAAAGCAGCCCTGACACAGAGGCATTAAAATAATGGAAAGGTTACTGAACTGTAGCACTGAGTACAAGGTGCTGGGTTTCACCTGCACTGGTCAAGGAACTGCTTTAGCAGTGGCACTTCAAATGTCAGCACTTGCCAATATTTACCATCGAGTGGCTAGCTCAGCTGCAGATCCAGCCCTGAATTACAGTGTTCCTTTGTGATCCAGAGAGGAAATATGATGGTAAATATACTGGCAGACATAAGTGGGAAATAATTTTAAGTGGTGGCAAATGTGTATCCCCTTTAAAAACAGATACAGCAGAATCTAGTTTTAATTTCACTGACGCTCAGTGTTTGGAACTGCCCAACAGAGACTTGCAATATATTGCATGGCAATACTGAATTCACAGGTTTCTAACAAAAATGTGAAAATACGTTTTAAAGGACTGTAAAATGTATTCCACAAAATGATTATTATTTTTTTTTTTAACCTGGAGAATTCTTTTATGATCTAATAAATGAACTCTTACAAATGTTCCTTCCTGAGACTCTGCTTGCCTTTGCACATCTGGTAAGAGACTCAGAAAGAATTCTGTGCAGGAATCAGTTGAAAAAGTCACCTACAGTCTTGGGATTACTTTTGACTTCATACTTTCTTTTTAATGCAAAGGAATAATGCAATTTGATGGTACAGTATTATCTCACTGCCAAGAAAGGCATTTTTAAAAGATTCAGTGCCAAAGTAAGATTTTCAAATAGTTTTTACTGCTTTTCTTAGTACACAGCCCTACAAGTCCCTGCTGAAGCAGGAGGCTTATTGAACAGCTTTTTGCCTTGATAAAAACAATACAAAAGGTATCCAGCTATAGTCCAAGCCTGGTTTTATGGATTTGCCATTTCTCTTTAAACTGTTTTGCCACTCTGCAAAAAATCACTTATTTCTTGCTAAGATCTCAGAATACACAACAACTGCATATGTGGAGATCAAGAGGGCTGTATTCACAGAATAAGACTGGCAGCCTTTCTTTAAGAATGTGGGAAAGGTGGCCACTCAGAAGGAAATGTCAAGAGTAGTAGAATGGCACAGTTTCAGGACAAGGACAGTTGTGGAGTCAGAAGCATAGCCTGGACTTTCTGATTCTGAGATGGATTCAGAATTAACAAAACAGAATTTCTTGGAAAAACATTACTACAAAACACAGTCCTGTCATATAAGCTATGGGATTCTGTCGTATTTTATCATCTTTACAAACAGCCACTTTAAGTACACCATTCAGTGATCTAATATATCCTGGCAGACTACTTTTCTTAAGGCTGGCGAGTATATTAATGTATCACTTCAGTGTATTAATATTGTGGTATTAATCAACTGTTGATTAATATATCAATGTCAGTGCTCTGTTTAGTCAATTCTGGAGCATAATTTAATTGGCTTACTGTATCTCAGTTACAAACAAGTTCAATTCAGCAAGCTCCCCCCTCCTTACACTATGGTTCTTTAGCAAGTCTTTCTATATGTGGAAATGTAAATTTCATTGGCTGTGCTCAATGAAGTATTGTTAACTCATCAAGAAATTTCTATCTATCATAATACCGTTTGGGAAAACTAAGCCTATTACCAGAAAATTCAGCTCCAGGATTGTATTTGAAAAGTACAAAGTATTAAAATAATAGATGTGCATTGCGAGGCACGGATTCCAAGTGACTCCCATGTATAGATATATAGGATAGCTTCTAAACTGGAATCAAATCCTTCATAAAGAAATGGCTATAAGAGAAGCAGATTTTCCCAACACACTGTTTGTGAGGAATCTGTAAGACTGAAAATATGAAATGAATTTTAAATCCCCTTGCAGTAGCTAAAAAAACGCTTTTCATTCAAGCCCAAAATCAAGAACAAGCACTATTTTGTTTTGTACTGGGCTTGTCTGCTGAAGTTACTGAAGTGTTACAGAGGACATAATTTGGCTTTTAGTGTATTCATTATTTGACACTTACATGACATTAATACAAACCACGACAATTGCACACCTGCAAAATTTTTTATTTGTTTTTCCATAGATGAAACTCTGAGGTGATTACATTGACACCTATTGGAAGATCCTAATCCAGCAATAATGTCAGATCCGAATTTCCCACCATCTTGTTTAGCTCTTCAGCAATATCTTAAACCCAGTGCACTGGAAAGTTAAGAGGCAACTTGTGGTTTACTGTAAGTCTGGCACACAGCATTGGCCAGAAAGTAGGGCTGCTAAAGAGGCTGTAAAAAGACCTTATCAGAACAGATATCCCTCATCAATACGGCAGTGACTGTATTGACACCTGTCTTAGGCTTCTGACTCTTTCCAGAAAACTTAAAAGAGCCAGGGTGATTGAGAGTTAGTGCAACTGGTCCTTCCTTCCTTTTGTCTGATCTGGCTCCTGACCAAACCCGTATATTGTCCAGGGCATACCACAAATGGATTAGTTTGCTACATTAGGTATCTCCAGGATTGTGACTCCTATTACTACTCAAAATATGACTTCTGTTTTTATAGGAAGACAGGACTGGAAAGGATTACATCTGCCTTTGGTCCATAGGAGGGCCTTGAAGATGATCAAGGAGCAGAAGCTTCTCTCCTACAAAGACAGGCTGAAAGAGCTGGGGTTGTTCAACCTGAAGAAGAGAAGGCTCTAGGGAGACCTTATAGCAGCCTTCTAGTACCTAATTGTAAGCGGTGGAGGGACTCTTTGTCAGGGAGTTTAGGGATAGGACAAGGCATGATGGCTTTAAACTGAAAGAAGGTAGATTCAGATGAGTTATATGGAAGAAATTCTTTACTCAGAGAGTGGTGAGGCACAGGCTGCCCAGAGAAGCTGTGGATGCCCCATCCCTGGAGGTGTTCAAGGCCAGGCTGGATGGGGCTTTGGGCAGCCTGGTCTGGTGGTAGGTATCCCTGCCCGTGGCAGGGGGGTTGGAACTTTATGGGCTTTAATGTCCCTTCCAACCCAAACCATTCTGTGATTCTATGATTCTGTGGTGTAACTGGCATCAAATATGGAAGGGTGCAAAGACTTTGCCCAGCCCCTTATAACTGAAATAGCTGCTTTTTGTGTCTTTCCCTGGGTGAGGTCCTCTTTCTGGGGCAGGAATGACCAGCACTCTTTGCTGCATTCCCTGGAAGTTCTGATCTTTCACTTTTAGTGGTATTAATATTACATGCTCTGATTGTTGCACTAGTATGTCTGTAATGTATTGCAGCTGGATGCTTAAATTCGTCATGAGACTGACTGTAACAAACTGGGAACTTTTAGCCATCTTCTGCTCCATTACTATGTCCTGTCACCTGGTTCCTATTCTAGTCCATAGTGGATGCATCTTTGATTAGATTTTGGCCTATGGAATCTCACCCTCTGATTGTGTTGTTTTGTTTGTTTTTCCAGACAAATGAATATTTTGATGGACTGTTCCTGGAAATTCATATTCTTGACAGAATACGTCAGATCTTCTTAAATGGGTTGGTCGATTCCCTGTTTGTAGAGTATTGCCAGTCACAGTACTCCTGACAGATAATGAAGTTGAATTATGATGCATGAGATTAAGAAGCATAGTATTTATTTTGAAAATAAATTTTACATTTGTCTTCTCTTTTATAAACTTTTAGAATTCAATTTTTCAAGTTTTGTGTGTGTGTATGTGTGCATGTGTGATTGCAAAGCATTTTTTAAAAAGAAAAAGAGAATGAGATTCCATGATCCCACACCCTGGGGAATCAAAAACAAATAAACAAAAAACCAAACCAAACCAAACCAAACCAAAACAAACAAACAAACAAAAAAAACATGAAGTAAGATGAGACCAAGGGCTGTCCGGTCTGCCCTGCAGAAGTAAGCCATAGAGGAGTTTAGCTATTAGAGCAGCTGTCACCTGCTGTGCCCCAGGGCTGCAGACTGTTGTTCCTGCAGCAGGAGCAGAAGGGCACGCACATTCGTGCCCCAGCTGTCCCACTTCGGTCCAGTTCATTGGCAGAAACATCTAAAGAAGTAGTCTGTGCTGAGCTATCAGGCTGTAAGCTCACGTGGCTGAACTGAAGACATACACCCTGTCCTCCAGCTGTAATGGAGCAGAACTATTTGCTGGAGGAAAGGGAGAACAGCGGGAGCAGAATCAGCTTCAAGTGCCCCAGCAAGAATCAGTGCTGGATTTCTGCTAAAGCTTTTAGTGCAACTGCTGTCATTGGTAAGTGAGGAAGCTGTTCCCTGGAGTGAAGTGATAGAGGTCTCCTTTATGGGACAGAGAGTTTGGTGTCCAGTCCTGGCCAATAGCCCAGACAGAGGGAATGTTAGCCTTGGCTGTGGAGAGCAAACAGCTCATTTGCCTTTAAAAATTCAATATAACCCTCTCTTGGTGCGAGAACTTGACAGCAGCATAATAGACATGGGTGAATTATTGATTTATCCTTCATCTTCTGATCTGTCCTTCTTTTTATTAATCTAACTTTATATTGCAAGTTTTATGACTGGTAGAAAAATATATTTCCATTTTCATTCTCAGGAAATATTCCTCGTGCTCCCTTCCCTAAAGGAGAGAGGTATGTAAGACAATCTCTGTACCAAGTAAGGTCCATTCCCAGCTGAGATGATGGGTGTCTTTTGATTTCACAGTAATGTATAGTCACCTGTATCATCCTGAATCTGTTCTTGCCCTGAGCAGAGAACTGGAGCAGTTTAAACAGAAGTGCAGATGTTGAATAGAAAATAATGAACATTACTGTTGTTCATGCATGAAGAAGAGTATTTGTATGAAGAACGGTTGAATCTTTGTTCACACATATGCTTTCTTTTGTGAATGTTCACAGGTAAGAGCAATGGTCAAGATGAGCGACAGCTGCTTCAAATATGAACAAATATCCATATTTGGCCTGTTCTGCTACTCACATAAATTTTCTATTACATTTGATCTGAAATGTTAAGAATACATGTATATTTACTAGTTGCTATTTCTTGTCTACTCTTTGCTGATGGGTGCTTCTCCCTCATGATAGTTTGCTTAAATATATCTCTGAGAGATAATGACATGTTGCCTAAGCACACTGCATTCTCATAAGATAACAAAATAATAAAAAAAAACATTTTGTTTGTACCTATATCCCATTTGTGCCAGTCAATAAGACTGATGGACTGTCTTCTCTTTCTTTCTTTCATTCACAATAGTGTTTTTGTTCAAATCATTGATTTATCATAGATCTAATGATTCTTTTCTGGTTTTCAGCTTGAAAAATAATCTTCCCCTGGCTCATTACTGTAGTATTTCTTATCAAAACAGCACAGTCAGTCATCTTAAGTTTAAGATCAGACTGGGAAGGTATAGGAAGGTCTGGATGATTTAAAAACCATGTTCAGAAGAGATTTTTTTTTTTCTGCTATAGAGAAAAAAATATATAGAAAATTATACAAAGACATTATTGGAATTGGTGTCTCCATAGAAAGTGGGTACTGTGAACTGCAGATGTTTTTAGAACAACATTATAGATGGTTTTATGTGGGGAGAGCTTTGAATATATCTGTGGATCTGTGTATTGCATTGCCAATAAAATCTTTTATTAGCCTTCATTCTGGTTTTTACATTCAAAATTCAATGGTCATTGACAGTCATCACATTCAAACTCCCCAGAAATACACCTTTGCTAGTGTGGGATCCAACCTTTTGCTTATCTCAGTGTAGGGATCAGGAAGGAGAGTCTTAGCTCATCAGATCCACAAGGAAACGCCACAAGAGAGAGCTGGGTGGGGGATTAGACCACAGTGAGGACCAGTTATTTAATGGTGTTCCTGGCTGGCTGGAGGCCCCAGGCTTCTGCTCGGACAGTCAGGAGCTTGGAACACAGACACAGAGTGAAACAGAGGTCAAAGATACACCTTGCCTGTAACTGTATGCCTGTTCAGGGACTATTTGCAATTCCTCTGCTCTGACTGTTGACACATAATCCCAGTCCTGCCCCATGGAGGTACCTTTACCAGATGTGTACATCCAAAAGTTCATTGAAGAAAGTGGGCATTGACTCTCTAGGTCTGTAGGAAGTCTGGGCGCTTTGGTACCTAGTCTGAATTTCACAGCCATGAAAAATTACTGCCCTCATGAATGTCAGAACTAGTTGTGATATATACACATGATGATAGTCTTTCAGATGTAACTCTTTATATGCCTGGGGAACACAATAAATAAAACAATACAAAAGCCATACTGTCTCTTGTGCTATAAATTATTTCAGCAATCTCGGACTCTTCCATTTTAAAAACAGCAATGTATGGGAAAAATATTAGGACTAAATTCATCTTCATCCTTATTACATAATAATAATAATAATAACCACCAATTGCATTTCTGTTCTTTGTCTGTAAGGGTTAGATGAACATCTGGTCCCCTTCATATATGTGCTATCATTATATGTCCTTGGAGATACAAAAACCCATCACTGAAACCCAAACTATCCCGTCTTGTCAATGTGCCACTTAGCTTGTGTCTCACATACTGTGAAGTATCATCTACTAGATTTGGACCTCTATCCAAATTCTCAGAAAAGTCCAGATTAGATGGTTAAAATTTAACTTTAAGTCACATAGAGCTTCAAACTCTCAGTTAAAGATGTTCAAGAAGCCAAGTTAGCCAATGCTGCCAAATTTTACCAGACCACCACAGATTTTTCAAATCTGAGTTTAAAAGACAGCAACCTGAGCGAGGAGGTTGTGCAAAACATTGAAATGTGTAGTGACACACAGTAAGGAATTGGTGGTAGCTGCTGTGTATGTTCCTTATGCCTGTGATATGCCCACCACTCACGTCATATAAGACAAAGTGGCCAGCTGGACCTGTTGAACTGAAGAAAGCAAGCTGTGTTCCCTTGCCATTATGCTCTGGAAAAAACATTGTTCTTGAAGATTTCAGTTTTCAAAGCAACTTGAAATATTCTATTGGTGAAGATCAAGCCAAAGACCACAGTGAAAAACTGCACTCCATGGTGTTACATAAATCAGTATAATGGGACTTTCTAAAACATAAAAGAAATTTGTTTCCCATGTTGAAGAGCTTTCAGTACAACTCAGACAAATAAAAAGGTTAACTGAGCTATGAGTGATGATCAAGGGAAAAATACCTTTTAATAAGGTCCTTTATTTCTGTAATCATTTCTCTATCTAGAAATGTGCTCTGTTTTGCTGTTACAGGTATCCTGTTACCCTGATGATATACACATGAAGATAGTTGATGCATGGAATATTTTTTTTTCTGATTTCATTTTTTCATTAATCTATTTTATGTTTTAGGTACAAGATTTACTTTTCCTACAGTGGTGCATGTTGTCTGCAGGCACTGAAAGAAGGCTTTTCACCAGAGGTGAGCAATAAACATAACTGCTATAGCTCTGATTTATTTTCAGTTGACTAGAAATACTTTTCCTTAAAATTGGTTTAAAAATCTACAGTGTTGTGGTCAGTACTGATCTAAGGAACATTTGAGAATATATTTAATATTCTTTTGATATACTAGTAACCAATTATATACCAACTGCTATATTCCAACTGCTATACAAGCATTTACTGTCCATGACCATGTTCTTTGTGTTATATTCACAGAGCATACCATGTTTAAACAAAGAAACTGGGACATAAAACATTTATAATCCACAGATGAGACATAAATGAAAATGCATTAGACTAAAATAATATAGCAACTTGCACCACGCTCAGTAATATAAATAAAACAGTATTTTTTCTCCACATATTTCTACAAATGAATGAATCTTTTAACTCCACTCAAGACCTTTGAAAAATGTTTCAAGTTGTGATCCATGCCTGTTCTCAGAACGATTTTATTCTGCAAAGAAGAAAGCTTAGCTGATCTTTTAATGTAGAGCAAAGTGAAAATAAAGCAGAAGACTAATAGTTACTATACCAAGTTTTCCTTAATGAATAGGCTAGATTTTGCTGCTTTATTAAAATACCTTTCTTATCTTGAGAAATGTTGAGCACCATTACTGCAGGAACCAAGTTCTCTAACTTGGCTACAAAAACAATATTTGACATTGTTTTCAGTCAGAGTGGGAAATAAAGACAAAACCATAATTAGGATCACTATATACAAACACATGGAGCACTTAGATATAGAAAACAGCGTCTCTTATATGTTGATTCTTCAAGACTCCAAGTTGTTTGTCTCACTCTTCTGCTTTAATTAATTTACCAGACATGAAAACATAGTCTAGTCTGGAAAAATACTATGAAAACAACACCAAAGATTCCCATCAGTCTTCACAGTTTGCATTTACTTTATACAGCATAATATCTGCTCTAATGTCATAAAATAGAAAGGGAGAACAGGTATTGTGTGCAATGTGTGGATGAAAACAAGCTGCCCTTTTAGAAGCATTTGTCCTCTACACAACTATTATTTTCTTCCAGCAGTGAATCTGTACAAAGGTTTGCTGCACTGGGAATAAATTAATGGATCTATTTAAAAAGGACAAATATTATACTGCAAGCCATGCTCATGCTATCACGGCCAAACAGATGCTGGAGAAGTAGCACTTGGACATTGTTTTTGCAGAAACAAAAGGTTTATCAGTGGAGTGGTATAACATTAACAGGAGTGCTGACCTACTTATACACCATAACACTCTGAGGAGCGTCTGGGGAGACAGAGGGCCCTGGAGCAGGGCATGTTTTACAAGCCAAGTCATGAAACTATGACCACGAGCATAACTTTCCTTGTAGCAGCTATTTATCATTGGCAGAGAAATATCACATGAGTTTATTTCCATTACAGTATAGGTATTTAAGGTTTGATTGTCTAATTCCCCATGGATTGCTCTAGGCTTTCACTACGTTCAACGGAGAGCAACCCACACGTGCAATCTCTCTGACCTACTTCAGCTACCTACCTCCTGATGAGATGAATTTCTATCTGAATGTGCCTGCTTCTCCCTGCTGCCTATAAAAGCAAGCAGGGTAACTAGTTGAGAGGTTGATAACTAATTTTTTTGAGACTTAAATGAGATATATCCATCCCACGCATGGTCTAAGAAGAGCGCCTACATGACTTAAGAATATGTGAGCTAAGTCACATACAGAAATGAACACTCTCTCATGGCTTTCTTATGAATGTGTCTGTAACCAAACAGCCACCCCCTGATACAGCATCCACTGCACCATAGAGTCTCCACCTGGATAGCTCACCTCATGGTGAAGTACTGGTATAGCTGAAGTGGAAAAGCTAGATAGCAACACTTCTGCTCACTGCAGTGACAAAATGATGGAAAAAGTATGCCCAGCACAGAGAAAATAAAATAGATGAACTAATTCTACTGGAAAAGGTGTGTCTGTTATGCAGACATCTCTGTGACATTAGGAACCAACTGCTATTTAAAGGGGTTATTGTTATTTCCTCCAAGACTCTAGAATACATTTGCCAAACCAGAAAAAAACTTTTCAGAGGTATAAGAAGATTATGAAATACTGGTTGTATTGTTATTAAAATTATACAAGAATACAGAGAAATTTACTACTAAGCACAGTTGCTTTACCTCAAGTGATTTTGCTGCTGGTGAGAATCCAGGTATGACAGTGGCACAGAGGTGCCCAGCTAACAGCTCATTATCTTAGGGCAGCACTGTAGCAGTGCTTGTGTATCACTGATGGCATATTAAAAACAAGGTGTTTTTCATCACTCTGCACATGAAACAGGCAAATACCAAGCATTAAAGTAGTTTGAGACAAACTATGTGTGTGTGCAGATAGGTATATATATATATAAAAGACTAAAAACCACAGACTTATGGCTGAGATACAGCAGCTTTAAATCCTATCAAAACTTCCATCAACAAAATCTCTACATCTTTTAATTCGAGAGGTGCCTGCTATGGTGTGCCATAAACCATAGGGGAAAACTAGTTCCTGGATACCCATGTCTCTGTGTAACCCTTCTTAGACTGGGTTCCCTTTAACATGCTGATGAATTCCTAGGTTTTGTAGCATTTCTGATTGTTCAAAAGGCACGTTTTTGATAATCTTTGTAAAAAAAAAATAATAAAAAAAAATTAAAAAAAAATAAAAAGAATGGCTATATTTATTTAGACTCAACATCTTCATAACAGAATGCCTTGCCTGGGAGGAAACATTAAATTTACCAGTTGACCTAGGGACAGAAGAGGAGAGAGAAGTTGAGAAGAGATAAATCTCCAGCATGGTTCAGAGACATTTCATTTCTCTGTTCCTTCTCTTGCAAAAATCTGCACCACATTTTCACCTGGAAAACACTGAACAAAAATGATTGCAAGACAACCTCTTCATGAAGCAGATGTTCTTCTGGGCTTGGTGCTCTGCATCTGAAGCCTGGCTTTCTAGTGGGCACGGGCATGCTGAGTCCAATTAGTTTCTAACATGCACATCAGATTGTAATATGTAGACTTATCCTGCCTGATGTGTTAACTTTCACCCCAGAGAAAGAAGTGCCATATACCTGCTAGGGGTTTGTCATATCTCTCTGGGGTTTGAGTTGTTCTGGTATATGCTGTTTGAAGGCAAGCTCCTTGGGGACTGCTAGCAGTTTGGCACACTTTGTGCATCACAGGATCCCTTGGTATTGCTGCAATACTACGTCCATATTTATGATAAGTTCCTAATTACTCTTATGTCCAAGCCTCTCCTGTGAAGTGACACATGGCTATGAGACTTTGACTTCACACTCTTCCTTGAATATTAATTTTGGGCTGGATTCTTCCTCCCTACTCACCTGCTACAACAGTGAATCCCCAAGCCCAGCCCAGTAAGCTGTGAGTTTTTTATAGGTCTGTGTACTATAACATGTACTCACAGGCAGTAAGAAGGGAGGAAGAGAAACAACAGTGTACAAGATTCATATACTACATTTTTTTTTTAGAGACAGTAGTAGTGCATTCACTCTGATTCAAAAGCAAGGGGACTAATGCTCCTTGGAGTGACTTGCAGCTGAGCTGTGTGCTCTCACCTCAGAGCCAGGGCATCACAGCAACACCAAATAAATGGTATTGCAACTTGCAGTTTGACCAGTGAAAAGATGAAAGAAAAAATTAAAACAAAACAA